GACGGACCACAATGCACCGCGCGACCGCGGCGGCGAAAGCATTGGATACGTACGTTGACGTCGCCGCCATATCAAATGTGGAAAAGTCAAGGATCCGTGAGGGGGCCTTATTTATGGAAGCCCATGCCTGCCCATAAAAAAGAAAAAGAAAAAAGAATCAGATCTTTTTTTTACTGTCAGAAGTCCATTTCTGGCAGTGATTTTGTTTAACAGCTAACGACCAACACCGTAACAATAACAACAGTCATGATAAAGAATTATTATTTTTTAACTGTCGGAAGTCTATTTCGGCCTTTACATTATGATATTTATGATTAAAAAGTAAAATATGTTTCCGTGTTGTCGTGGCTCGTTGGTCTAGGGGTATGATTCTCGCTTTGGGTGCGAGAGGTCCCGGGTTCAAATCCCGGACGAGCCCTATATTTTTTTCTTGCTTATTTCTTCAATTTTGCACTAATAATTCACAGTTAACACAATTAACAGTTCTGAACTCGAAGAAGCATGCTGGCGTTCCAGCGTGGAGTTTGCATGTGTTCCCCGAGCTTGTGTTGTTTTTCTGTAGGTACTCCAGTTTCGTCCCACATTCCAAAAGATGCATGTTAGTTTTATTTGACGACTCAAAATGCGGCTGTGGATGGTTGTCTCCTGTATGTTTCTTGTGACTATCTGGCCACCACTCCAGGCTGTACCAGAGTACCTCTTACACAAGACTACTAGATATGCTGTGATGTTTTCACAGTGCTATTTACATTTAAACATTCAGTTGATTAAATATGGTTTGACACGTCAGAGTAGAACAGTTTGGAGGACCGAATGGTAGTTAGACCACCTCGTTCTTCTATCAGCAGCACTAATACTTAATTCCAGCTCCGGGGCTCAGTCGAATGGCAAATATATTGTGTAAAGCCTTTCTGACTGTCTATCTGTGTTTTTCTCCCTCTAGCCTCCATAAGAGCCATGAGATAAGTTGGTAAATAGTAGTCTATTCCCTTTGCTGTTGCAGCAAGCATATCTTGAGCACACGGGGGAATAACGTTATTTCCATAAGCTTCTTAGTTGCTCTGGGCTCTGTCATTTGTATGGTGGCTTCGTGTGATGACTTCAGATGTGATTTTACATTTCTAGAATGTCTTAAGGCTAGCCACTTATAACAGGGGCAAAGGGGTCCTATTCTTGAATTATGTAGCAGACATGTTGATAACTGATAATTATGAGGTGCCGTATAATGTGAGGATAATTTGGTGAATATGAACTTACTTGATGTGTTTGTAAGAGAGTTTTTTTGTGTGAGTGAGTTTTTATGATGGGTGTGAGAGTTTTTCCTGTGTTTGAAAGTTTTTATTCTCAGTGACTTTTTTATTGCCAGGTTAGAATTGTTTTTTGGTGTGCATGAGATTTTTTTGGGTGATCTGTGACTGATTGTTGTTGTTTTGTTTCTGGTGTTGTCTCTGGGTTTCTGGTCAGTGTTGTGGTGTGCGTACAATTTTTGCTGTAGGTTGTGTGCAAAGGCAGGATTCAACATTAACGGTGGCCCCCCAGGGGGATTTGATTTTTTTTTTTTGGGGGGGGGGGGGAGGGCCTTTTGGGGTGTAAGAGATTTTTCATATGTGAGAGGGTTTTGGTTGTGTGTGAGAGCCTTTTGGTCTGCAAGAGAGTTTTCTTGGTGCATGTGTGACCCTTTTTGGGGCATGAGATTCGGAAATGGTTCTTTGACATGTGAGAGAGTTATTTTAAATTTTTTTTAGGGTGTGTGTGTGAGAGAGGTCTATTTACACAACCTTCCCATCTATCGTAGCCAATAATGTCCACTTTCCAAACAGCACTTGATTTACGCTATAACATATTTTTAATCTGCTGCTGTGTTGGCACAAAAGTCGCTCATAAATGTACATCATTGACTGCTGACTTGCTTGTGTTGCAAACTAGCTGATAGGGACCAGCGCGGTAACATAACGCTCAGGTTTATCCTCCTAGCCCTGGAGGAAGCGTATTAATTTGGAGGTCTTATGAAATGATTTGTTGGCTAAAGATCTATTTTCCACTCCCCCCATCTCTGTCTACCGCCGCAGGGTCAACCAAAGCATATTCCATTGTCAAAGTGTCAGGAGGAAAGCTATTAAAAAAAAGCTTGACTTTTCTTAAGTATCACGAGAATAAGTACATGGTTTAGTGAAATCCCTCCCTAAGAGCACTGAAAATCTTTGGGGATTTTCCTCCTAAAATATTGCCTAATGGACGACTCAGGAGTGTCAAAAAAGAGCCTTGTTAGCCATGAATGCATTTCTGGGGATTGGATTTGATTATTTTAGGAGCGAAAACACCAAAAGAATTATGTGCAACTATGATGGAACTTTTCAGTTATCTAGAAAGTTTTGCCTTGGTTCATTCACATAAGAATATGGCATCTATCATAAAGTGGAGGTGATTTTATTACTTTTGGAGAGTGCACGTAAATCACAGGGGGTTATTGAACTTTTTGGGTCGCCTGATAAGGAGAGGTTTTTTTCAAAGAACGACTACGCCCTTACCCAAACAGCATGTTTGCCTGATTCACTTCTAAATGTTTTCAGAAAGCAAAAAAAAAAAAAAAAAGATCACAACAAATTCAAAGCCCAGTTACCTGTCCGTTTCTTTCTCCACCATGACTCCATAATCCACCTGAGTGCACGGACGACAGTTTTGACATAAGAAGAAAAGACAGACTTCCCAAGGAGATGGGGCAGTATCTTCAGAGCCTGCGGATAACCGGATTACCACCGACATTTTGTGCGGCTGGCACTTTTTCTTATTACCCATTTCAAGCAACAACACCCCCGACGCCGCCCTTCCCTGCTGCTCTTTCTTAGAAGTCACGCCAAATACACAGTAGCACATACTCCAATTTATAGTTCGAGCTGCTGGCTTAAACACTATTAGAAGCACTGGCCTATATTTCAAACCTAAATTCTTATATTTGTTCCATGAAACTGTGTTCTTTATAGTCCGATTCATTTTGTAGCATTTCTTTTGGCTGCTTCTAGTTCGTGTATGGATGAGATTTTTTTTTCTCCGTCCAATCAGATTTCAGCATCTGTGTGTTGCCATGTGAATCTCATTTGGCAACAACAGGTGTACACGACTTGGCCATCAGGGACAATAAGATAATACGCACATACAGACTAAATAAAAAGAACAGCAACTCCTGTAAATGACTCAGCAACTGCAGTATTGGTGTTGTTTTTTGCAGAGGATAAAGAATATATGCCTGTGAGTCTTGCTATATTGCTTGTCTATATGTGTTGCTACGTTGGCGTTCAAATACCTGTTGCATGAATTGCACCAGTTGCTCAATAATCGGCGGCTCTGGTGTGCTATGATGTGCTCTATTTACATGTTTATCATTTTTGTGCTCCACATGGAGAAGTGGCACAGTCGTGTGCTGTTTTATTGTGTTTTTGTATTGTAGTGATGGTTTTAACGATAAATACCATTTCGAAAAAATATATTTTTTTTCTTTACATATGTTCTCATATTTGTTTCATCTCGACGGGTGTCTAAAAACAGCGTGAGAATGATTAGTGTTTAGATGGGCTGATGATGCGATTCGGAACCTCCAGCACAAGTAGACAAGAGCCCGGCAATGAGGAAACGGATCAGCTGGGTGACCCCCGCTGTCCGTCACTTTATCCCCGCCGCCCTTCTGCTGAAAAGGTCTTATCACAACTGCTTTTGCTGTGCAGCTGCACTGCTGGATCTTTCCGAAACACTGGCTTTTGATTTAGGGGGGAAAATGAAAGAAAGACGTCTTACTGCGATGTTCCCTGACCTTTATTGAGCCAACGCACTGTATTTGACATAGGAAATATCTCATGACAGCAAACAAGATGCCAGAGTATCTACAGTGATTCTAAACAATTTTCAGAATATCTTTGGCAAATTCCACTCCAACGTCAAGGTAGTGTGCTGAATTTCTGACAGTTTGACTTCATTGCAAATTCAAACATTTCTCCATCAATGTCATTTCAATAACATACAAGGAGGTTAAAGCTTATATTTGATCAGATAAGGTATCATAATTACGAAAATGGTTCAAAGAAATCGATATAGACTCCCAGGACCAGTAAATGATGGCTGTGATTAATATTGATTTAGCAGGAGGTGAGGTGGAGGGGTGGGTGTTAAGCTTCTCAGAGTTGTTGCCTAGTAGAATACAGGAAACCTGCAGTGCATGTTGGGAAAGACTTTAAATTGATTTCAACAGAAGTTTTCAAAGGCTTAATACCAACACATGAGAAATGCCATAGATGGGCTAACAAATAGCACCGATGCAATGCACACTGGGGGCACGCGCTCGACTGGTTAGTATGTCCGCCTCAGAGTACAGAGGGCCAGTGTTCGATTCTGGGCTCCGGCCTTTCTGTGTGTAGTTTACTTGTTCTACCCATGCCTGTGTGGGTTTTCTCCGGGTACTCCGGTTTCCTCCCGCATTCCAAAAACATGCATGGCAGATTAATGGAACACTCTAAATTGTCCCTAGGTGTGATTGTGAGTGTGAATGGTTATATGTCAATGTGTGCCCTGCGATTGGCTGGCAATCAGTTCATATTTTGGCCCATGTCGAGTGGTCATTCATTGTATGATTTTTTTCCAGTGCATGTGTCTCATCAGAGATTTTGTGAAGCTTTAAAAGTGTCAAAAGGGAGGGGAAAAGAGGGGTGTCTTAGAAATGTTGTATTCATTTTTGAGGGGGCGGGGGGTGGGGGGATTACTGTGCGCTCTCATCTTCTCATTGGCTTGGCCCACCGTGACAGTGGAGTACAGATGAGAGCTTGACATGCTTGGTCTCTTCCATAACAAGCTTCCAACTTGCAACCAGGCTCGACACTTGTCATTCAAACAATCCAGGCTCACAGAAAACGTTTACTGCGGATTTATTACGCTTTAAAAGAAGCCCATGACGTGTTTTCCCCTTCTCTCTCTCTCTCTCTCTCTCTCTCTCTCTCCTTTTTTATTTTTTTTTTATTTGTGTAAGAGTTGACCTGAATTGTTTTAAATGAATGTGTGGTCGGATTTGGAAATGCCCAAACCATTAGACCACATCAAGAGACCAATGAACGCGTTCATGGTGTGGTCCAGGGGCCAGAGGCGCAAGATGGCTCAGGACAACCCAAAGATGCACAACTCGGAAATAAGCAAGAGGCTGGGCGCCGAGTGGAAAAAACTCAGCGATTCCGAGAAGCGTCCTTACATTGACGAGGCCAAAAGGCTCCGGGCTCAACACATGCGAGAACACCCGGACTACAAGTACAGACCCCGGCGCAAACCCAAAATTCCCCCCCAGACGGAGCGCCTCGTTTTCCCACATGTGGAGCCTTTGAAGGGATTCTCCGTGGACTCGCCCCTTCTCATCCACGGGGATAAACCCCCCACTCTGATGGCGCCGTCCCCCGTGAGACATCTCCATCGGATGGCGGAGTTCCAGTCCCCTTTGCGCGGCTATAGCTCGCCCGCCTTCGGGTACCACTCCGGGGCTGTGGTCGGGGGTTTGGCTTGCCTCGGGCAGCACACCCACGCGTCGCACGGTAGCCCCTACGTGGTGCCGTGCAACTGTGGAGCGTGGTCGGCGGCCGGTGTGCAGCCCCATGTGGCTTACATTCTACTCCCGGGAGGGATGAGCAAGAGCGGCTTGGACGCGTACGCAGCACCTGGAGCCAGTGCGTAAATGGACTTCAGGGACACCTCGAATTGAGATGAAAATACTCGGCGAACACATGGGATGGTTCATCAACGCATTTTTGGACCGCGTGGGAAATATTTGCTGTTGATGTGACGTTCAGCTCGTCCCATCAGGGGTCGCCACAGCCCAAATTTGGCGCAACATTAAACATCCATCCATTAACACGAATTATAAATATTTTGTTTCTGAAAAATTTCTGAACGATTGACGTCTGAATATATGTGTCGACAGTTGCACGAACTTAACATGAAACTCCGCAAAACCTGAAACATTGCATAATTTACAGACAATTCAAATTCTTTGAAAATTGACCCTTTGTTGATCCTTCTGAACACTGAAAAAATGTGTGTGGAAAAATGAGTTGAATTTACTCAATTTTAATTTGACAAGTGGTTGCAAAAAATAAAATCATCGATTTTTTTTAATAAGATGTAATGTCTACTAAAAATGTATCTGGATCCAGAGAATTTCATTTCGTGAAAACACTTGCCAAAATAAAATGTAAATAAAAAAATCAGTCAAGGAAACAAAATCCTCAATTTATTTGTCAATATCACACGTGATACGTTTTGCTTTGACGGTTGAAGTGCATAAGGCAGGTGACAGAAAATCACCCACGTGAACACGTGCCGCGCAAAATACAAAAATAAAATTCTGTGCCACTACTAGTCAAAATAAATGTTTATGCATAATGATATACATAGTTGACATCTTAAGATATTAGTCAACAAATCATTACGTTAATATCACAACTGCTTAAATCAACTACTGTACTGTACTGAATCAAGAAAAAAATAGCAATGTGCTCGCGAAAATAGCGTTACCCCCTTGTTATCCTTCAACGTTAATACGTCTTGAGCCACTGTGCAAAAATTTATATTCAAGTCACGTACAGATATATGAAAAAGGTACTTACTGTAAGTACTCTAACAAGGTGTTTGTACTTTGTTACTTCCCATCACTGCCAAATACATACAATATACTGTACATGAGTATGCTTTAAAAGCGAGAGGGGGCTAATTTTTCTTTTCAGGACTTTGTTGTTGTTTCGTGTCTGTGCTTGGTCTTTTTAATTATTTGAATAATAATGTCAAGTTGTTCATTCCATTGACATGATAATATTTATACAGAATCTGAAACTGTCTCAATAAAGCCATCTGCGGAAAGTTGTAAGCCTGAACCATTGAAGGCGTGGCCGGGCAATGCAAATGCACAGGCGTTTTTTGTTTGTACCACCAGAGGGAGCCTGTGGACCAGTAGTGGTAGTTTTGCACTTTGACGATCATTGGGTCTCAATTTCAAAGACACGAGTCCAAAAGACACAAAACTGAAAGACTTTTGTGTTTTATTGTTGTTTATTCAAATCTTCAATTATGCGTTTCAAAAGACGACCATCCATAACAATTCCAATTTCCACTGAAACTTTGATGAAGCTGAGGAACACAAAACCCATCAGAGCACACTTCCCAAAACTGGTTTACGGTGAGCTCTTCATAAACGTGCCCCGTGACTACACCCTCTACTTGTAGACAGAAATTAGGAATCATTCCTTCTTTTGACGACTCTTGTCTAGCTACCTGCAATTCAAGCATTATAAAAATAAGTGTACAAGAAAATCAGAAACAGAAAAAGCTAAAGAACACACGGTGAGGCTTTAACAGTTTTGTTCATGGATCTGTGACTAAACAGAATTTAGCAGCAATGTAAGAATGCTAAATTCAATCCACTTAACTAAAAATGTACATTTCACACTTTTTTTTTTTTATCTTATCTGAAATCATGCCACTACTTTTAGTTTTCGAATCCAACTGTTTTCACTTAGGGGGAGAAAAAAAGGCTGGCAGAATTCTCAAAAAACAATATGGCAAAATGAGTGATGTAAACCATCAAGGTTTGAGTGTACGTTTTTAAACTGTCCCCTTCAACTGTAAAAAATAATTTGAAACCCATGTTTATATCCGCTCTAATTTTTCACTCAAAAACTCTTCCACGCTGTCCGTGTTCCACTTGAGGATGCTGAGTTCCTCGGTGATGTTCCCGTTGTCGTCCAAAAGCTTGAGTACAGGATCGGAGCCTCGCACGTACTGAGAGAGTGTAGGAGGTGAAGAAAGAAAAAAAAAAAACAAAACAAAAAAAAAAGTGTCAGCAACCCAAAAATAAAGATGCATAGAATAGTCTCAGGAACTTGGTTTCTCTCAAAGGATTTCACTGTTCCTCGCCTATTGGCAAATTTACTTATCATGGGTAAAGTGGGATCATAGTTTGTGATGTATTTCTAGTTTAAGCTATCATATTTTGGGGGGTGTCAATTGCTGATATTTTTTCTCTATTTGCAGCAGTCCCTACTAGGGGGCATGACTATTTTAGTGTGAAAAGTGACAGTTCGTCATCAACACTCACCTTGATCTGAAGACCCTTGAACATTTTCGGCTTGTCACCCTTGACAAAAGCTGCAGAGATTTAAAAAAAATATCAATAAGGGTCGGGTCGAACGCGTATCCATTCGTCATTCTATTTTAGGACTGAGGAATTTAATTGTTGACAGCCGCGAAGCCCCCTGAGAAGGTCGCATCTCGAAGAGACAGTTGAGCACACGGGACGGCTACAGCTGAAGTCAACAAACGGTGGTCAAATGGCCCACAAGGAGACACGGGCTGTTCCGTCTTGAGATCAGATGCAGTTGACGATCAGGGAACGGAGCACAATGTTATTGAGTCGACCGTGGGTGGTCCTCTTCCACAACAAATAGCCAAACCTTCCAAGTTGGGGGTTGAAAAGCAAGCCTGAGGAATTCAAGACCACCTAGCTTGATGCTAACACACAATATGAACCGGGATAACGCAAATAGCGTCGACATCACATTCATTATAAACATTTTTAAAACGTGCATCTGAATATAAGCGGTCGTTGTGAAAAAATGCAGGGAGCCTACAACAATACTCACGGGGATATATTCTTTATCCTCAGCAACAAATACTGCATCTTAGTTAAGACATTTTCCTCTGCTTTTCATCAAATCTCCGCATATGACTACAGCGCCGTGAAAAAGTATTTGCCTCCTTCCCGATTTCCGTGTTCTTTGCATACTTATCTCACACAAAGGCTTCAGTTCATCAAACCAATTTTAATAGCACAAAAAAATGGGAAAAAAAATGCAGTTTCCAAATGGCAATTTAATTTACACAGAAATCAGGAAGGGGGCAAATAGTTTTTCACGGCACTGTGTGTATGACACTGAAACGTTTCGAAAGAGAACTCACCTTGGACTTGGGGGAACCTCCCCAATTTTCATCCGCACACCTCCAGGATGGCCCCAGCGTAGAGCTGTCGGTCAAGAAAATACAACATGAGCTGGTGGTTTATGAGGAGAAGCGCGCGCACACAGCACTGCCCACACACGGAGATAAGAGGCGGGCGGCCCTGCCGGTGGCAGCATGGCTGGCCTGCGGGCGTCTCCTGGCGACTGCTTGCAGTCATTAAGCTGAGCGGCTGAACATGCAACGGAGTCAACAGATGGTCGCTTTGTCATCAAACCTCCGGCGGCAATGTTAAGAAAGTTGGGAGGAAATTGGGAGACTCACAGCTGCCTCTTTGCAGAGGACAAACTTGATGTTTTTCTACATACAGCAAATGACACAACTCCCGAAAGGGGCGACTGGATCTTGTTTGACACCCAGAAACGTAATTGTTGTTGTGAAACCTCACATTGCATTTGGGTATGAGAAACCGCATGCTACACTTTTTGCGTTTTGGGCTCAAACTGCAATTTCACCCGAAAACACTTCAAGCCTCCATGTTTGTGAGTGGCGCAAGTTACAAAGACGTTTTCTTGCGCAAGCATTTCTGTGAAATTGTTCAAATCCAAACGTTCACGCCTTTCAAGCCACCATCCATGGAAGCGATACAGAGAGAAAGATTAGAGCTAAGAAAAACACCATTTGGGCATTCAAGACTTGTCCCCATTTCAAAAGATGACTCGTTACACAGCCTGTGCCTCTACGCTTTAAATAGTTAAACACATTAAGAGTATAACTTCCTCATTAAAAGCAGCCAAGTAGAACCTCCATGCAGCCATTAAAAAGGTACGCCTCCAGCCTTGCAGCCAGGGACAAAACCATACATCCAAGGCAGCCTGGTGATGTTCAATCTTTTCCTCGGGTCTGTTGAAGAGTGCGCAACTCGTTAATTATCTTAATAGGAACCATATGTTTTGCCCTTTATCTGGAAGGTGTGCTTGCAGAAATTAGACCGACTTTAGAAAACACAGCAGCGCAGTCCTCGGCCTGGGCGATACAGGCCTTCAAATCAAATCTCAAAAGATTTCCAAGATCTTTGGCTTGAAGAAAAATCAATTATTCAAAACAAGTTGAGCTTTTTTTTTCTCCTCCCCTTCTGGGATTTGTTTTATTTCTCCCGATACCAAACAAGCTTTGAAACATTTTTTTTCCCCATTCCGGCACGTTACACCACCCCAAGCATGAATGTGCATCAACTTCAAAGAAATAATACAAAATAATATATTTTCACAGATACGAAAATAATGTTTCCATATATGTTGTCCATTTAACTGAAATTTAACTGCTAATACGGACAACCCCTGCTGTGAATAGAGGAGGGGGGGAAAGCACAGGAAACTATATATGGGCTTCATTTTATTTAAATATGCAATAAAAACTGATATGTGAGCTGATTTGTTCATCGAAATGTACTTATTCCTTCACCCCTGCGAATTGTGAGGTTTCTTTGTAGCTCTGCAAGTAAATTTAAAAATGTCACTCAAAGATGCAAAATTCAAATTGCCCTGAGTTGCCATTTCCTGTTTGTTTGTTAGTTGGAGGAACTGTAGCATAGTCACCTTCCGCGATTCCAACTGGGCTTCCTGCTGGCAGCAGTGCCTGCAGTCTGGCTGCAGCTTGGTGAGGCTGAACTCCCCGAGCAGGTCACAGGAACTGCACAGCAGGTTGCTGGAGAAGCCCAGATCCCTGCAAGCCTCCGAAGTCAAGTCGGAGCCATACGCTGACAGCTGGAAGGAGGAAGCACAAGATGAAACGGAATATTTTAAAAGGAATACATCATTATGCACCGTAATAAAACTTTATAAGATAAGTTTATTTCTTTCTAAATCGATTGTGTAACCTATTTAGACAACGTACTTCTATTCTTCTAAAAAAGGTGGTGTTTTGCGGGGTGCTAAAACGGATTAATGGTGATGTCATTATTTTCAATAGGAAATTTGATTTGTATACTAAGAATATTAAGGTAAGAAAACCTTTATTTGTCTCGCAGTGGAGAAATTCCCAATTTTAAGATTTGCTTCTAAACAATCTAGTTATATCATTTACTCTGTCACCACGCCGGTGTCGGTTAGTTATTTTTTGTTATTTAAATTTGAAGTCCTTTAAAATAATTTGTGCTCGCTTCCTCGTTGCCAAACGATGTTTCCAACACGATTTGACAACCACTTTAATTGTCTTGAATACCTAAGTTTGACGTTTCTCGGTTAAATAACTCAATCTTAAAGCAGTGGACATCTTTCTCGTACTAAATCACAAGATTTGCACAGATTCACTTAATTACCAACAAGAGTTTTCGAGATTTTGAGTCAATAAGCCACGTCATATATGCGCCCCGGTAACCACAGGATGCGACATAAAACGATCAATGTAACACTAAACTGGGCAATCCCCAACAGTGAACGTATTTCGCAATTAAGAACAACGATATAATGCTATCTTTCATGTCAATGCGTTCAACTAACCGTTTTTAACAGCGAAAGCAGCCACAGGAGATACACTTCTCCCGACATTTTGGAGAGTGCCGGAAAAAACTACAATGACGGAGCCTTCAGTTAAACTAAACAGTACTCCATGTTATGCCTGATAAAAAATAATTCATTGAATTAGGTTTAACTAATCTAGTTTCACGAAAAAAACACAACTTAAGTAATACGTACATATAATAATGTGCATACTATCAAGGATTTTTTTGTGATTTATTTTTTTTTAATTTAATGTGGAAAATAGTCGTGGATTAGGCGCACAGAGGGACAGTCTTATTACTTTTTCTTCGCTCACAATTTACCCGCTTGGTTTAAGAGGCTCGGAAAGAAAACAGCACTCCTATGGGTCGGTATTTGCACTCGTTGGTTATATTTGTCCAATCCGGTGTGTACAGACAACTGTAGCTGACGAATAGAAAGACTGCTTCACCGTGAAGTCCACAGAAATTTAGTAAACCTCGACACCGCCTTGAGTTATATGGCCCGTTGCTGCAATACGTCAGCGCACCCACCATCATGGATGTCTCGATCGCGCAGCAAACTGCAAAAAGGACTCAAAACTAATGCTTCTCATTCACGCACACACTAAACTATTTAGGAAAAATAGCACGAGTATTTCTTAATCTGGTGTTTATTTGTATTTTTTTCAAACGTTTTCTTAAGAGTTTACTATGTGACAATGTGATGATAACTAATGAAATGATATTACATATTGAATCTGTTTACAGTGACTAGGTCCTAACCGCTGATTCTGACAAGTCGCGCCGTTTTGTCACTAGTCAGTGATTTATGTTATGTTAATAAAAATATAAGAACGGTCATCACTGGAGAGGGACTAGCAGAAAAGCCTTCCTTTCAGATTGTTTACCATTGCTTTCTCGGCACTTTATCTTCACAAAACCTACACAGCATGAGAACATTTAACAAAGAAGCAAACTCACTTCGGGACAATTTCGTTGAATGGGAAAGACTTGCTTGTTTGGAGGCTGGGAATTCACAGCACTGTTTATGCACATAGAGGACTTATAGTAGTAGCCAGAAAGTCAGTTATCAGCAAAATCATGCAATAAGTGCGACCAAAAAGCCTGTGCACTCTCAATCCCATGAGATCGGTCTTTGAAATTATTTTGTGAGTCCTTTCTGGGAAAAGTGCTGCATGAAACCTTCCTGTAATCAGTATGAAAACTGATTTATTTGAATTTCAAACTATCGGCACATATTCAAGCAGCACTTGAATAAATTAGGTAAATGAATGAAGTAACTTCACCGGTCCATCGCACCTCTTTGCCACATCCAACATGTCAGCACTATTGACGTACGTCTCCGAGCTAAGCAGTTCTATCGGTATAGTTTAGCGTCTATGGGGGGCTTCTTGTTACTGTCCAATGGTCTGTGTGCTACTGACAATGTGAACCGTGGAACCGTGCAAGTAAAGACAGGGCACCGGGGAGCTCTTGTACAGACGACGTATAAACGCTGCGTGAAAACCTTTCACAAGCCTCAATCTTGCCATGCAAATAATGGAATAACAAAGAATGGGCATTTTACATCAAATGTAGATTTAAGTATCCACGCACGCTGGCGCTTTGTGCTCGCCGGTTGTCTGTGCGCGTCTTCTTCGGTGTCTCCTCTTACCCACCCCCTCTTGTCTCCCCTCACTGGGCATGGACTGACCGACTCCTTCTCCGGATCATTTGATGGGGCTGCTCAGAGTCATGATGCCGCCCAAGTTGCAGATGCTGGCTTTGCTGGCGTTCGCCGTGGCCATGTTCTTCCTGGAGAACCAGATTCAGAAACTGGAGGAGTCCCGAGGAAAACTCGGTAAGTACCCGACAAAAAACGAGGTGCTGTTCTGTACCACCAAGATGCGCCTATCATACGAGGTTGTAAGGGCGCGCAATTTGCGCAGCAGCTCAAGAAGGCACGCTCTCTTTCCGCTGGACTTACAAGTCTTTATTATTTTTTTATGATTGCTCGATCGATGCATTGATCACTTAATTTTATCCAGCATTAATTTAATATCAATCAGAAAAAAAACCCTTACATATAGGGGCACTCCTCTGATTCTGAGGATGCTCTCCGCGGGCTATGGCTTTGTCTGTAAGAAGTGAGTACAGAAATATCAGCAAAAGCCTACTAGAACAGCTAAACTGTATTTTGTGTTATTCAGAGGCACTTTAAATCGTGGCACAAATGTACTGACTTCCATTTAACGTGAGTTTGAATGTGATTTGTTAATTCTAAGCACAGCCACATCCTGAGATATAAGAGTGGCTGGACACTCACACTTATCCTTATATTATCCCGGGTGTTTCTTTTTACTTTCCCTCTCAAAAATATTTTGTTTTTTCAACTGTAGTTTACAGGTCATAATAATGGTGGGAAAAGTTTTGACATGATTACTCTTTGTCTTATTTTTTTAAATCACAAAACCCTGGTAGTCAAAAAGTGGTGTGTATACTTTGTATATCAACTCTAGATGGAAAGATCTTTATCCCATGTGATGAATTAAATTGTCCCATCAGCAAAATGTATACATATACAGAACACTTGGAAATATTAAAATTGTTTTGAAGCATTGAGGAGGAATCAAAACTAATTTTAATCAAATCTACTGTAGAAAAAAAAAGTACGTTTGATGGCTATCCATCCATCAATCTATTATCCGAACCGCTTTGTTTCACCGAGGGTTGCGGGCATGCTGGAGATTATCCCATCTGACTTCGGGCAGTAGGCAGGGTACACCCTGACAAATGACAACTAGTCACATCCTCAATCACACCGATGGACAATTTAGAGTTTTACTTTTTTTTTTTGTTATGTGTATTGTCACGCGACGGAACAGCTCTTTGGACATACCAGCCCGCAATCTAGAGCAGTCGGCTGCTGTATCTGCAGCTCTAATAAGCCCGGAACACCGGCAGAGTTGCAGAAATCTCGACACTTTGGATTGCAGTTACATTGCTCTTGTTGAAGATCGAGTGGGGAATTCCAAGTCCACTCAAAACTGCTTCCGCTGTTCTATGGGAAGAAAACTGCCCCACTTTGTCACTTCTTGTGCCATCGAAGAGTATGACTCGGAACAGCATGCCGCCAAGCAGATGATGACTCCCCTGCTGTGGCGGAGATGACACGGGTCATATGAAAACATATCTCCGAAAGATACAGCGGGCAGATACATGACTGTCAGTTGGAAAGCACGGCGCTTGATCCCCGATTTCAGACTCTGCCCCATCTTGATGTTGTTAATGCTATGCTATGCTAATGTAAAGTATGTTGGCAAATGACACTTGCTTGCTGTGTTAGGTTTAAAGTGTGTGTGTGTGGGGGGGGGGGGGGGGGTATGTGTTTCTGTATGTTGCGTAGGAGAAAAGGTGTAGCTCTTTTCAAGATCACAAATCAGATCAGAGCGGAAGAGAGAGAAGACAGCAAAAGTGCTGCTCCTAAGAGGTTTGCTTTTGGAGAATCTGGGTGGAGACTCTTTCGGTCAGGCACAACAGCTGACGAGCATTATCGACCGATCGTTTAGTTAGTAGTTATTTTTGTATCGACGCTATCAAAGTCATCATTTCACGCACACCCAATTGAAAGGGAGCAGACACTGCGTTGAAATCTCCTTCCCACCTCCCATTAGGGGTCCAGTCAGTCCCAAGAAAGATCTGGGACACTGCAGGATTATCTCTCTGATGCCTCCACTGTGGCGGATTTGAAGGAACAGCAGACACCCCAAAGCTTTGGCTGCCAGTTCAGGGTACCTTTTGCCAGCTTTTCAATTATTTCATAAGCTTGCCTGAGGGGCAAGGTCGTCGCAGGTCATAGCACAGGTGTGCTCTTTTTATCATTTAAACATTGAACCATTAACCAAACAGGTCACATGCGAATTGCGAATTCTTGATTTTTTTTCTTTTTGGATGCAGACTTAGAATAAGGTAGTTTGTTTACTATTTAACAACTTGAAATGCCCAAAGCACACAAACATGGCACGGGAACGGCCTTCCCCCTGACTGCCCATCACCACCAAGAGAATTTGTTGACTTAGCGGGAAAAAAAAAAAAAACGTCCTGATGGATGACAGGACGGAGCACACTTCTGCATACTGAAGCTCCAAATTATTTGCTGCATGGGCAAATAGTTTTGATGGAAGAATTTTTGTGGGCACGGTGCTGACAAGCTTCAACTTGATGGTCAGGTGGCCACCTGCCGCTTCCCCTTCTGCCGCTGCATCACTAAAACGCTAGCAGATTCTATCTGCATCATGTAGTAAAAAAAAAGGGTAAAAATCTGTAATTAATGTAATGTAAAATATTTTTATTATACGTTATCATGAACTTGATTCATGAAAAATGTAATAAAAAAAATAGAACCTATTTCAGTTTTTTTAATTGTATTGACAATAAATCAACCCACCCATCATTTCACAAGGTAATTGAATTAAAATGAAATAAAAAGGATGATAGAATACGTTTAAACTAATTTTAGCGTGAAAATGGCAAAATTAATCAAAAAAAAAAATTCTGAGCCGTGTTCCTGCGCCTTCATTCGGGATTTGCCCGACTTAATCCAGTACGATCGCATTGCAAATGCAAATATTATCCAGTCTTCACTTGTCAAAACCTTAAATAGCAAGCACGGTTCAAGGGACATGTTTGCCAGAATCCATCACCACCGTATCAAAGTGCAGCGCACAGTTTAGAGTCAGTACTTGTCAAATAACAACAACCACCCCCCCTCCACCATCCTTATCAGACATGCTGATAAATAAATGCATTGATTTGTGTCGATCACGACAGCCGCATTTTGCTTGTTGAAGTTGGCTCCAGCAAATTTTCTTTGACAAACCAATCAGAGCTTGATGTGATTGAGGGCCAGCTCACTGGCCCTGTGAGGAAAAAAAATTAAATGTGTCTGGTTTCAAGAAACTCTCCCATTGCTAATACTGTACAGAGTTGCCATGAGATACCGGCTGAATTTGTTCCTTGACACTCATATCTCAAATCATCTTTCTCCATCGTAATGAATGGAAATGCAATGAATCCATCCCAACTTCCCCTAAAGATAAAAAAACAAAAACGTTTTTTTTTGCTCTTCGCAGAGGATAAAGAATTGCCTGTGAGTATTGTTATATTTCATGGAACAAATATTGCAATCGAGTCTAATCGCTATCGGCATCAATTCAGGATCGAAACATCTTGTGACGAGAGTTAATTCCGCCCGGGTTGCAACGACCCGTTTTCCGCTGTTCCCAGCGTGCGGTCCGGTTGGTGGCCACGCAGCTTGCGCCATTTCCACCCATTATAGCCTTCCCCGCAGGGCAGACAAGCAGTGATTTGCTTCAGAGCTAATCACGCTCCCGAGGTTTGGCCGAGGAGTCTCCTGCATTACAATGACGCCGCCATGCAGTTGTGCCTCCTGCTGTGGGCGTCATCCATTATTCTGACAGTAGTTCTCTGCGGCTGCTTCTCAGCTACCTCGTCGCCAACACAGACTGACTTTGCGGCGACGAACATCATGCTCGGTGGCCACTTTCTGCGGGTCTTGTGCTTGGTTTAATATGAACTCGGGGTCAGACACTTTATTTTGAAGCTTACTTTGAGAAAAGATTCACACAAGTCAGTGCTGCAGTGCAGTAGCTAAGAAGGGGACATAAAAGTTTGTTTTGGGCATAATCTGTCATCTGTACTTCATGTTAATTGAAATGAACTGAAATGCCATTATTTCTAATAGAGTCAAATGTATTTTTTAAAACAATCAACTATCATGAATAGCAATAAACTGGTCTTTTAAAGTCTAATTGTACCTACTGCAGTATTTGTCTTCAATGTGTGTCTTTAAGGGGCGTGGCGTTGTGAGTGACATCAGAAACTGAGGGCAGTTTTGTCTGCATGTGAGTGTCAAGGTGTGAGTTGTGGCCGACAGCAGCTTGATACCAGTCTCAACTTCCATTTTCGTTGATTCTACCCGCCCCCCCCAACGCTGTTCCATGCTCTCGTTTTCTAATGTACACCCTGTATAGGTCAGGCAAGGCAAAGCATCCAGAGCTTGGGTGCACATACCTCAGGTCAAACATTTTCGACGTGTGGATAAATTACTGCTTTTGCGACGTACAAATGAGCATCATGTCATGAGCCACGTCGAGCGCCACTTGCCTTCCACCCTTCTCCCTTTTTTTGTCCAACAAAAGAAAAATGTGAAAATGTTTCTGCTCATACTTTCTGTTCAGAGAATTTATCGCTTTGTTGGAAAATACTCGGAAGATAACGGCAACAAATGACAATGCGGTACAGCTGCAATGACAAAGACAATATATTTAGTCACCACATTTCACCATGTCTAAGAATGCGTTTTTGTTCATTCTTGATATTTCGGGAGTCGTGCGAAATGAGTCATTGCTTATGAAGCCATCACCCTCCGACCTTTCTAAACTCGTAATGAGAGCAGATGACTCTTGACCCCCGCGTGACTTCGTCAAAACTCTTGTGGCTTTCTTCCTTGCCATGGGCGCTTTTTAAACTCCTTTCACTCTTCTGCCACAGAGAAAGATAATTTCCATTCTCTTGCGTGGAACTACGCATCTTGTGTCCTCCTTGCGATGACTTGTATCAAATTTAGTGCAGTGACCGTCTGTAGAGGCAACATAAGACTGGAAAGCTTTCTTCTTCTTTCTTTTTTTTTTTTTTTGGGTCACAGTCCGCTGCACAAGGGCTTGGGTTGGAATTGGACTTCGTTATGCTGGCTACTGTCGTCACGCCATCAGACCTGAGGCAGAAATTTTCTGGAAAAGAAAATTGGTCAGGCATTGCTGCCTCCAGTGAGCCCTGTGA